TTAAATAGATTTAAGAATAGATAGAATTTTAGAATAAAAATTAAATAAAAATAATTGAGATAGATAGATAGATAGAATATGAAAGATTGATAGATTTTTAGAAAAGATTGAAAATAATTGGATTAAAAATAGACAGATAGATAAAATAGATACCAAAAATTCACAATACGGAATGGAAAATAGGACACCTTAAAAGATAAACAAAGATAAATAGAATAGATAAATCAATAAAAAAATAGAGTCTGAAAATAGAAATTCAATCTAATAGATAAATTTGTTTTGAGACTGAAAGAATGAATAGATAAATAGATAGATAGATAGAATAGAAGAATAGATTTAAATACATTTAAAGATAGATAGATAGATAGAAAAAAAAAAAAATGTAGATATTTACTTCAGAGAAATATAAAAATAGATGAATGTTTTAAGATAGATATTAAAAAAGATATAATACTTAAATAAATAGATATGGAAAAAATATATAGATAAGAGATAAGAAAATTGGAGAGGAAGATGAGATGGATAATATTCAGAATGAGATAGATAGATACTTGATTTTTAAATTTTTTGAACATATATAAAAGAAATAGATAGATCTTATAGATAGATAGATTAATGATAAAAAATATACTTACATATTTAAATGATGGAAAGATAGATGAATGATGGAACAGATAGATAAATAGAAATAGAGATAGATTAGATGGATAATGGACTTAAATTAAAAAGATTAGTTTAGATAAATAGAAGGGAAAAGAAAAATAGATAGATAGATAGATAGATTTTAAATAATGAGATTAGAAAAATAGATAGATAATAGAACAGACTGATAGATTAGACAAACAGATAGATAAATAGATGATAGATAGATAGATAGATAAATAGATAATAGATAGATAAAAACAGATTGAGATAGATAGATAGATAGAAGGAAAAAGATTGAAGATATCTAATAGATAGATAGATAGATAATAGATAGATAGATGAATAGATAGATAGCCATTAAACAGATAAAGATAGAAGAAAATAGATAAAGATAAATCAAATAGATAGATAGATAGATAGATAGATAGAAGATATGTAGATAAATAAAACAGAATAATAGATAGATAGATTGATAAATAGATAGATAAAAATGAATAAATAATATATATAGATATTATGGAAAAATAAATATATATATAAATGTTGCTGAATATATATATAATTCTATAAATCGATAATTAATCATGCCTTTAATACAATGTTGAAAATATGATTCCGATTTTTTTTTTTTTATTTAATTCTTTTGAAAAAAAATTTCTTCATTTATCTTTCGGACTTTTTTAGCATTTGCTATAAAAAATTAAACAAAATCAAATAAATTTATTAATTTTTAAAAAAAATAAAATATTAAAATTTGAATAACATTATCTTATCAAGAGAATATTATTTATTTATAAAACTTTCATAGTGAAAAGAATTTCAAATATTTAAAATTCTTATTTTAAATAATGTTTTTTATTTTAAATATTAAATATTTTTATATTTTAAATTAAAATTAAAAAACTGAAAAGGAAATTTATTAAATTAAAAAAATCTAAATTAATAATATAGGAATCAAACATTGGATTTTTCCATTTTGAATAAGATAAATAATAAAAAGAAATTAATATTTCTTTGATAGATTTATTTCATTTTTAGCGCTAAACATATAAGAAAAATCTGAATATACCAACTTTGAAATAGTATGCAAAAAGCTAGATGTTTTTTATTTTCTGAGTTTGAACTCATTTTAATCTGATAAAACACAAATCTATAATGTCTAATAAAAAAAAATTATTTGTAGATTAAATATAATTATATTTTTATAATAAATTTTTATTAAAAATAATTTAAAAGATTTTATCATTTGAATAATCAACAAAAAAAAATTCAAAAATTAAAATACTAACATTGAATATTTAAAATTCACTTCTGTGGTTCCACCATTGTATGAACTTCTTGGAATTTCATTGACAATATTGATATATTTTATTTTAAATTAAATTCACTTATTATAAAATAAAAAAATGAAAAAAATCTATCTCTTATTTAAATTTTGGATTTGTTTTTGAAGTTAAAAAAATCTCAAAGGAAAATCTAATGCAAAATTTTTCAAATTTGAATTCTAAATTTATAATTCATATATATTTGTATTTTCTTTTTTTTTTAAGCATTTCACCCCAAGGAAGGCTGGAAGCCACTAGCACGCAAGGGGTTACAGAGTATTTGGAGCGAGAGCAAATAGGAGTGATAGAGGAAAGGATGAAGGGAAGGATAGTGGATAGATCAGGGCATCTGGAGATGACTATTGATATTACATTTGAATAGTTGGAGATTATAGCTATCAGGGAAACAGGAAAAGGGAAGAGAGTTCCACAGGCGAGAGGTGCGAGATATGAAGCTATTGGAGTAGAAGAGACGGCTACATTTAACAGTTTCAACAGTGAAAGGGTGAGAGCGGGATGCCAGCCTAGACGCTTAAATTCATGAAGTCTGGGAACCAGCGAAAGCAGCTTATCGGAGCAATTACCATGAAAGTATTTGGGAAAAAAAGACAGAGAGAGGCGACGGCACGTCTGTGAGAGAGCGACTGTAGACGAGATGCCAGATCAGGGCCAATTACATTGCATATCCGTCTCTGGATCTTATAAAGAACCTTGAGAGACAAACAGAAGGGCTCCAGACCATATATGGCAGCAATATCCATGCAAGGGCGAATGGTTGATTTGTAGATTTGAAGGATTTTCCGGGGAGAAAAATTTCCTGGCGCGGCATAAGGAGCCAACTTTCCTTGCGGTGGAAATCTACAATTTACTCAATGTATTTTTTCCATCTCAGGTCAGGGCAACTAATGTGAGACCGAGCAGCCGCCAGTTAAATGGACAGGGAAAATAGATAATTATGGTTCTCTGTGGTGATTAATTGAGAGCAGTTTTGTTTTTGAGGCGTTAAAGTTAACCAGCCAATGACGATTTCCAGTTCTTAAACTGATTGGAGGTCCTTTATCTGTGTGTACACAGTATGTGTGTGTGCCGCGATCATAATGAATTATCATATAATCATCATCACCTAGAATTTTGTTATCAAATGGGGATCCTTTCTGATGTTCTTGCACAAGCTGTCGTGCAGTTTAAAGGGTCCATATTGTGCAAGATTTTGAACGTTTGACAGTGGTGAGAAGAGTCGAAAATGACCCATATTTTTTCATTTTTTCAATTACAAAATGGTTTATATATATATATATATATATATATATATATATATATTCCGATCACAAATCGACAAAAACAGCCGTGGGGACACTGCTACTTTGTATCGTGAAAAATGTTTATTACCTTAAAAAAAACTAAACTTGTTATCATATTTCGATGGTGGAAAAAAAAACTCCAAAATGACTTTGTTGTTAAGTCTTTTGTTGAATTAACGAGTGATGCTTTAAAAAAAATGTTTTTCTATTGCCCAAGAAATGAAAAAACAAATAGAAGGAAGACAAAACACTTCAATAATACATATTGCCACTTCCAAAGGCATGGTGAGAGGAAACATAGTTGTTTTAATGTTTATGCATTTTCCACAGCCAATTCAAAATATTTATATTTTATGTCTTTAAAAACATTCAAGAACATCAAGATAAGGAATACGTTTAAAAAACTCATACCCTTGTTGTATCGGTTGAAATTTCAACTTACTGCCTAAACAGATCAATTATAAAAGTAAACGTTCAATGAAAGCGTTAATAATGCACATCAAATGGAAATATATTTGCCTGACAGTCGTGAGCAGTGAAAAAATTTTTTTAAATGAAATAAAAATCATGAATCAGACGCCATTTTGCCTGTTAAAAAATTTAGAAAATTAACAGGAGATTGTTAGGAAACTGGAAAATTTACTGACATTCATTCATAATATGCTTATATATATATTTATATAATATGAAACTTTTTTCGTAGGGGGACGCTTCTGATCGTTTAATAAATGCAATTGTCACGTTTATTATCAAATTCAAATTTAGCTGATACGATTTCCAAATTTTGAAGAAGTTTTGCATTGATAATTCTTGTTAAACGTAGAAAATTGGAAATAGTTTCTGAAAAAATTTCGAAAATACTAGACACATTTTCTTTTAATCGTAATTGGAAAGATAAATATTCACAACGAAAGAAAAAACGAAGATCGCTTCACAATATTTATCAAGAAACCTATTTTTCATATGTCTCTTTAATGTCTGCAAATGAATTATTGTTCCGTTTGAATTTCTGGGATGGTAATTTATCATTATTTAAATTATTTACTAATGCCATCAACTTCATTTAATCCAAGGTTTCAATAATTTTTCATCTGACCTTCTTCAGGTGTGACTATCAACCCTTCCAGGTTATCTTAGGAATGGATCGAACAGATATAACATATTTGATATAGAAATTAGATTTTTTCCACTCAGTGGAACTGATATCTCGATTCTTTTTTTAGTCAAATCAGTTATTCCATGTCTTATATATATTGAATATATGTATTAAATATATTTTTGGTAGAATGAGTTCAATATCAAGACACATCATACGTAGTTATATATATAAGAAATAGATATATAATAACGGAGCAGTATTAAAAAATAAATATAAGGTATATATAGAGGGACAACTGAATAATATCTTCAACAATTAGATTGAATAATATTGTTATAATTTGAAATATACTTGAGAGACTTTTCAGATCGATAGACCCATGCAGAAAATTGAAGAGCCGAATCTTGAAATGGCTTTAATAACAACAAAGACGTGGATATATGTCCGAATTTAAACAACATTAAATAAATAATGATAATTGTTCACTTCACTTTTGATGATCTGCGAGAAATACGATATGTTTTCCATAATTATAGTTGGACAATGTATCACAGGATTTATTTGCATATATATTTAATCTAGAGCTATCACTGATATTTGTAATATCCTATAATATTCTATAACACTATAAATTATTTTTATTTTTTTTCTTAGATTTCTCCCTTCATTTTCTTTGCGTTTTATTGGTGGAATGAACTGAAAATGTGACGGCGATGATTTTTATCTTAAAAAAGTAAATTCAATACAAAATTTAGGAGTTAAATATGCCGTATTTCAAAAGAAAAAAAAAAAAAAAAAAAAAAAAAGAACAATCAGCAAGACTTTTTTTCAAATTTTATCGAATGCGAAGTCCAAGTGTCTGATCTTCTAGAGGGTTACTTAAAGAGGAATATAATATGAACGCAAGAGGAATTGGTACGTAAAGATTACGAGGATATGGTGTAGGATTGACACTAGACTCCAAAGTACTTTATTTTTCATATCCTGGGAAACATAATAGCACTTTAGTCGATCTCGCAAACGAGCGGTTCTTTGAAAAAGCTTTGGGACGGAATGACATTCTTAAAAAAGTCATCACAGGATATGAAGTTGATTCAGTATATTTGGACGTAGCAGGATAGATCTTGAACATAAATATCTATGTTATGGCAAAAAAAAATGAATATTATCCATAGACGTATCGATAGGACAGTGATATTATTGAGAAAATGAAGATGTTTTTTGAAATAGTAATATCATCTACACAGCATCCGATGAATTTTTAAATAATGCTTTCTAATATAACAATGCTTCATATATATATATATGACAATAGCTGAAAATATGTCTGTTTAAATGGTTCTTCTTTCTTTGCTATAAAAAATGAGGGAAATTGATATTATTGAGAAAATGAAGATGTTTTTGAAATAGTAATATCATCAACACAGCATCCGATGAAATTTTTAAAATAAAAATTTCTAATATAACAATGCTAAAAAGTCAGCCACCATGACAATAGCTGAAAATATGTCTGTTTTGTCATGTCTTACTTCTTTGCATATAAATCTGCAATGAGGGCAGTGATATTATGAGAAAATGAAGATATTTTTGAAATAGTAATATCATCTACACAGCATCCGATGAAATTTTTAAATAATGCTTACATGTTAATATAACAATGTGTTCAAGTCAGCCACCATGACAATAGCTGAAAATATGTCTGTTTGTGTCATTTTTTTTTTGCTATAAATCTGCAATGAGGGCATTGATATTATTGAAAAAATGAAGATCTTTTTGAAATAGTAATATCATCTACACAGCATCCGATGAAATTTTTAAATA